ACCTTAGAGGCCCCTGTTCTCCTGGTGCTCCGGGCGACCCTCGCTGTTTGCCGCGGAGATCTTAGGGCCCCCAATCTGCTATCAAGTGGTGGGCCATCAACTACCTATTGCAGAGTACCTAAGCCAAGGGTATGTATCTTGAATCAAGTACCAATTAAACAACAATCTTCCTGGAAAAGGAAGATTGAATGAAGAAAAAGATGCCCCTACAAACTGAGAAATGCCGGCTGTGTTATTAATCTTGGAAGAACATGTAATGCTAAGAGACGCTGCATCTTTGAGAACCCCGCCCAGCCCGGCTTTCTGGGTCGTGGCGGCGCCTCGGCCGTTGATTCGCCCGAACAGCACGCAATCTGTCAAACCCAGGGGTCCCCGTTAAGTTTGCCTTCCTTTTCGGACCCTTCCAGACTTCACCTCTCCAACCGACATCGCTCGCCAACTCCCACGGTTCCCGCGCCGGAGAAGACACGGTATCTTTCGCGACTCTGCTCGACAAAGTGCCAACTCGCGACAAGCTGTCTGTGCCCGAGCAAACAGCCAGCCTCTTCCGCCAGACGCACGCCGAGGCCATTGCGCAACCTGCCGCATCGTTGCCCGCATCGTCGTCTGCAAAGAGCACGCGATCTGTTATCCTTCGGCTTCGATTTGCTGCCCTTGCCAGCGCAGGTGTTTGACAAACACCATGTCTCAGCCCAACGCGCCGGCTCGGCCGGCTGCTCCGCAGGAGGAAGGCGTGAGTTTTCGGCCCCGAGCCTCGGTTCTAGATGTCGCGACAAAATACTGACCTAATTGTCTCGGCAGGGTATGAGCATGACGCAGAAGCTGCTGCTCGGCGCCAGTGTCTACTTCGGCATGAACATGCTCATGAACAACGTTTTCCAGAAGAATCAGTCGGGCACTCAGGTCAAGGACGCCGACGGTAACGTCGTCAGCGTTCCCGCCAACACCGAAGACATTCCCCCGTACCTCTTCCGCCCCAAGGAGTTGAATGAGGGTGCCACCTTCAGCCAGATCCCCCACAAGCTGGCCCCGATCTGGCCCATGGACAGCTACGTCGACATTATCGTCACTGTTTCCGACAACGTCGTTCCGACCCCGCTGTCGCAGACGCCTCAGGAGAAGCTGGTACTGAAGGAGGAGAAGTTCAAGCTTGGAAACTACAGCGAGAAGCGCTCCGTGGACACCACCATCAAGATCCCCCCTTCTGTTCAGAACAACGGTACTCTGTGGGGTCACTTCTACGTGTCGCTCCCCGGAGCACAGCCCGACCCTTACGTTGACACCTTCGACCCCGCTTCCGCCTACTACTTTGCCTTCCCTCTCACCCAGTACATCCCCAAGAAGAAGGAGTTCAAGACAAGATCGCTTTTGGACAAGGCCGAGGAGGAACCTGAGCCGGTTGTGGAGGAGCAAGACGCAGGCCCCATCATCGCCAGCTACTACCACCCCAATGCCAGTCTGTCCATGATTCCGAACACCGGGGTCCTGGAGTACCGTCAAACCCACCCCGCCATCCGCCAGTTCCTCCAACTAGAGCCGACGGGCGCGAGAGACGGTTCTGGCAAGCACTCCTGGTACTGTAAGTAGCAACTCCAGACATGTCTCTTGACGATCATGACTAATTCCTGCCAGACCCCATTCTGTTTGTCAACACTTTCTGGCAGCTCAAGAGCCAGATGATGCTGCTGAACGATACGGTCACCGAGGTTCCTCTTCATATTGACTTGAACAACCTGCGTTCATGGCAATTCAACACACTTGCTGCTATCGAGGCGAGTGCAAAGGAGTCTGCTCGTCAGGCTGCCTACGGCAACTCTCTGCCTGGCGGTGGTGACGGCTCTGAGATCGAGATGGTCAAGGAGATCTTCATTGACACCAATCCCATTCTCCTCGGCATTACAGTCGTTGTCAGCATTGCGCACATCATCTTGGAGACGCTCGCCTTCGGATCCGACATCGCTCACTACCGCAAGAAGAAGGACAACGTTGGTATCTCCGTCCGTTCCATTCTGGCCAACGTTTTTATGCAGGCCGTCATCTTGCTCTACCTCATCGACAACTCGACGAACACTAGCTGGATGATTCTTGGTTCTCAGGCAGTCGGAATCGTCATTGAGCTCTGGAAGATCACCACGGTCGTCAATGTGGCCATCAAACCCGCTCCGCCCGGGTCATGGCTGCCATTCTCCGTTGTCTTCGAGGACAAGCACAAGCTTAGCGAGACCGAGGAGAAGACCAAGGAATACGATGAGATCGCCTTCAAGTACATGTACATCGCAGGAGTTCCCATCCTTCTCGGATACGCCGGTTACTCTCTGGTGTATGAGACGCACAAGTCGTGGTACTCGTACGTCCTCGCGGTCCTCGTCTCGTCTGTCTACGGCGCTGGCTTCCTTATGATGGTTCCCTCTCTGTACATCAACTACAGACTCAAGAGCGTTGCACACATGCCGGCCAAGGCGATGATGTACAAGTTCCTCAACACCTTCATCGACGACCTGTTCGCGTTCACCATCAAGATGCCTTTCCTGCACCGTCTGTCAACTTTCCGTGACGACATCATCTTCTTTATTTACCTTTACCAGCGCTATGCGTACAAGACCGATTACACCCGTGTCAACGAGTTCGGCCAGGGCGGTGAGGACGAGCAGGAGACGGACAAGGAGAAGGCCAAGGCCAAGGAGCTGCTGGAGAGCGACCCCGCGGTGGAGAAGGTGAAGGAGATTGCCGGCAAGGCCACTGGTGCCGACACTGGCAAGGCGAAGAAGAGGAAGTAAAGGTGAGGTGGCGTGTCGCACAGCAGTGGATGCGTGCAGCAAACTTGGATGTAGATAAAGGTCATGCAAAACAGACAGATACCAAGTAGATACGGAACCAGGGGCTCACCTTGCTGCATGACTGGCCGAAGCGAATGTGTCTTCTGGTCGCATGTAATACCTAATCGAGGCTAATGCTGCTTCCCGTCAACGAAGCCATCGCTGTATCACTCATCAATGGCATCTTATGTGGCCAGCATCCCAACTCACAAGTACAATGTACAATGCACGCTTGGACGTGAGAAGTGAGGCTAAGAGAGATGGGTCGGAGGAAAAGCAACAAAAAGCTCGCTAGATGGAGTTCGTATTCGAGCGTAAAACCAGACGACGGAGCTATGGGCGTAAACACTAAGCATCTCTAAAAGTAAGGTAAGGTGAAGAGCGAGCTACAGCAGAACGGGACCAGGCCGGGCCACCCTTAGGCTGCTCAGCGATTGCAAAAGGGTAGCAGCTCGGTGGCGGCTGAAATTCGCAGCAGGGGCCCCCGTAAAAACCGCCAATGGCGGGGGCTCGCAGTCGTCAGAGCCCCCGTGCCTGGTAGGGCAGAGACAAGCATCCGAACACCCGTATGTCACCGCACCTATCAGAGGGTCTCATCCCTTCTAATGACGCCAGGTCCCCTCCAACGGTGTTTGGGAGCATGGATCCAGCTCCACGTTTTTGCTGTTTCTCTAGCTACCCGGCATGTTTGGGGGATTGGGGGGTCTTGGGCTTTTGGATAGTGGAGTGTTTACGGGAAGGACATACCGATTTAGAGCAGACAAGTTCTGGGCAAAGAGGTTTTGTTAGGCTTCGTTCGGTTGATCGGATCGGGTACACGCAATGCTGTGTTTGATTGGGATGGAGAAAGGGGAGAAAGCCTAGAACATTCGGCCCGTGATGCTGTAAATAGCACAAGGTACGGTGCTCCTTACTTAACAGGTTGGGTTGAGAGCAGGCAGTCAGAGGTTGGTGATGGTGATGACCCTGGACGGCAGGAAGGAAGCAGAGAGATTAAGACGAAGAATACGGAGGAATCATTCCAAGATGACCAGGAAGGGCCGCAAAGACGACGGAGCCCCTCCAATGGCATCAACACGGTAGTTGCCCAAAGCAATCATGGCTGGCCTGGTCCTCCACTAAAAACTAAAAAGCGACACCCCGAAAACCTAAAGTTCCCGTCGGCGTCGACTCGTTCGCCTTTATTTTGGATTGGATTTTGATTGCATCCTGTCCGTCCTAGCAAGGTCGCTGCGGCTCCTCTCTTGTCTTGTCTTGACCAAATACGCTCGCTGGATCGGACCCAAACAATTCGTCGCACTTGGCTTGCTGACAATTTTCCTCAAACTCCCTTGTCTCTGCGTCTGCTGTTTTCTTTCCTTTTCAACCTATCGACGGTCCTTCCGCTCCCACATTCCATTTCCTCCGACCACGTTTTTCCACCGTCCATTTTCCGGCCGTCGCGTGAGCTTCTTTTCTTCGACTCAGGAACCCCCCGGCTCCGTTCTCACATGCCCGGGTTCCCCCGCTTGTCATCATTTCGTCCCATGGATCTTCAGTCATGACATATAGATGGCCGCATTGGTCCCCCAGCAACAGAGAGTTCAGAAAGCGCAGCAGCCATCAACGAGGCCTTTGGGCCACACCCACCCACCCGCATACCTACGGCGTACAACGCGCAGCAAACTGGTTCAGAAGCCCCCCAAGCCGGCATAGGCTTCAGCATCCTGCCAAGCGAAGCTCCGGCCTCTCGGTTCGCCAGGTTCCTAGGACTTCCCAGGACTTCCAGGTCCACGCTGCCTCGTACGCAGTGGAGTTCCACGGGTCTCTCGTCATCCCAAATTGGAGCGTCCCCGGCACCCCGAAAGCTCCACGGGAGGGAGCCAAGACCTCACTTTAAGGGAAACGTAAGCTACAAAACCTGTTCGGACGGTGTGGCCGTGCCGCCCGCGCCCGCCGTCCGCCGCCGTTCACTCCCCCTTCGGGATTCCTGCCCCCAAAAAGAAGGGGCGCCAGACGGAATTTATTATTGGGGGCTTCGCACGCGAGGAACTGCTGCAGACAGCTGCGCACGCAGTTCACCCCCCTCCCTTCGATTTGACGTGTGCTGCTGCTGCTGCTGCTGCCCCCGCCGCGCCCTCTCGCCTTGAACGCATCCCCTCGAAGCTCGAAAGGCTGCGAGAGCAACGGAAGGGACACCGAATCATGAGCAGCTCTACCGTCGGGTCCCTTCTGGCTGCCATCGCGACTCTGATCAGTGATGGCCTGCGTATCTTGAAATTCGCCGATAAGCACCACTGGGGACCTGACGAACACGAGCAACTGCGCCTGTTGGAGGATACACTCGATGACGCCAAAAAGGACTTCCAGGAACTGTCAGTCCTTGTCAACGGCCAACGCTATTACATGAACGATCGCAGACGTGAGTTGACCAACCCCGAACTTGCACTTTTGCCCTGCCTTGTGGCGCCCCGAACCGCATTTCCTGCACGATTCTACGGGACCCCGCGATTAAGTGGCTGCCTCCCTCGGCTCCCCATAGAGACTCCCCGCCGCAGTCCGTTCTGTTATTGCTGATGTCGCCGCCGCCGCCGCCGCCGCTGCTGCTACCAGACCTTCCACTGACGCGATCTTTCTAGCACAATCGATCAGCGAGTTGAAGAGGTTACAAGGGAAATTCGAGACACATATCGAAAACTTCAAGGACTGGGCAAAGGTTGGCGGACCAATCAACCCGATATGGGCACGAGAAACGACTGAATTGCGCCGGGAACTGCACCGCGCGCAATGCCGGGCGGCAAGGAGGATATTCAATTCGGAACAGGAGTCTTCGTCAAGGTGTCTCGGCGCATTCCTCGTCTACAGGAAACAGCGAGAATGGGCGACCCGAACCATCGTGACAGAAGAAGAGTTCCACCGGCGGCATGTGGAAGAGGTCAGGGCGTGCAACAACATTGGCAAGTTTGAGCGCTTCGGAGACAGAGACATTGCCTTTGTTTGCGACTTCTGCGACGGCCACCTCGTGTGGGGGGACCTAGAAACCATGCCGGCAGTGCGCGCGGCGACAGACGCCACGATCAACGCCGTAAGGCCAGGTTCACCCACACAACTGCCGCACTGGCAGGCGACCGCCTACGGCGCCGCGAATCGAGAGCAAAAGACGGTTGTGTATGCGCCCTTAGCCATCGCGAACCACATCGCGCCATACCAAGGGGATTGGGTAGCTCGTCTGGAGTGCCCCTTCTGCGACGAGGCTCCGTACATTGAACCCGGTGAAGACGGCGACGACGAGATGAGAAACGCCCAAGATGAGTCTGGCTTCGAAGACCTACAGGCGTTCCAAGAACACCTGGAGTGGCAGCACACGGCGACATCAATACCCGCCGTGCCGCTACCCAAAGCGGCCAAGGACTGCGTGGTGATGTGAAAGCATTATTCGATAACGATTTGGCGGCGCATTGGTTGATTCTTGTACATATATGTGTGTGGTCTTCATGCCGGCGAGGAGTTGGGGGTTTACGAAGTGGGCGGGCTTTTCCACCGCATCCCACATGACGCATGAGATTATTCTGGTTTCCTTGATACCACAGTTCCCCTGGGGCAGATCTTCCACGAAATTCATCTAGATACCACAGAGTCTGAAAAACAGACCAAAGAGACGACAGAGATACCGATCTGGTAGTGTTTGGGTCATATTCCACATTAAGACTGAAAATACCACTGTTCGGCAGCAGACCTTCCCTTGATTTTTGTTTCGGGGTCCCACACCTCCGTCGTCCGAGAAGCCCGCCCGCCGTGACTTGATTGATATACATGAACAAATATACACCCATCCCTTCCCCCTGGAAATACCAACGCAAGAATTGCACCCCCTGGCCACAAACGCTGTTTTTAAAAGAAACGCCACCACAGAAACACGATGATGATGAGGCCCAGCGCGCCAAAGGGGCCGTACTGCTTGAGCATGAGCTCCCAGTTGATCCTGACGGCGGCGCGGCGGTACTTTTTGCTGTCGTCGCGCAGGCGGGAGCTCAGCTCGCCCATGCGCTCGAGGGAGTCGCCGCGGTAGAGCAGGTCCTCGATGTTCTTCGTCATGACCTTTGTGACGTCGCGCAGCTCGTCGTTGAGCTTGTCGAGGTTCTGGGAGGCGCGGGCGTCGGAGTAGGTGGACTTTGTGCGGGAGATGAAGGTGTCGAACTCCATAAAGGCGTAGGGGCGCAGGGCGGGCGAGTGCAGCTGGGCGATCGGGTATGTGGTGGTGAACTCGCGGGCGAGGTCCGAGAGGTAGGTGAAGGCGAGCTTGCGCGGGTAGGAGCGGTCTGTTATGCAGAGGAAGGTGATGTCGTTGTCGATTAGGTAGCTGGAGGGGTTTGGTTTGTTAGTGGCGGTTGGCTTCTGTGAGAGAGAGAATAGGGGAGAACGAGAACGTACTGGAGGTTGTAGGAGCCGCTTTCGATGCTGGCTTGTTGTTCCGAGTTGCGGGAGAGCTTGCGGAGGATCTGCTTGATTTGGGACTTGACTTCTGAGAGGGCGGCTTCTTGCTGCTCGTCGTCGACGGATGCGCAGAGCATCAGGCCTATGGCGGGTTGTGTCAGATGGCTCCTCTGGAGGGGTCCTTCGGGGGCAGGGTGACATACCGTCTAGCCTCGCTATTTGCGTTGAGCGGATCATTTTGGGAGTGTGAAGGTTATTTGTGGTCGCGGATAAGCGGGAAAGAGAGGGCGTTGGAGGTTCGGGTCCGACGTGTCGAGACTCTGGTTTTTGTTCGTCGGTGGGAAGCTATCACCGGCTGCTGCAGGTAGCTACGGATGGATGGGTAGATATCGACGTGTCCACAAGACGCGGCCCAAGGTCTCGTGGCCAATCTCCGAATGTTCGAGGTGTGTTGCGCACGAGCGGAAGTTTGTTGGAGATTCCGACGAACGGTGATGGTGGTATCGCCTAGAGTGCTGTGTGTCCTTTCTTCGTCAGGGGGTTTTCCTTCAGAAGGGCTCCTACAACGTACACCAGAATCATGGATTCGCCAATTTACCTAACGCTGGCTGGCCGGTAGCTCTCCACGTCCCTGGGAATTGAGATGACACCATGGTGGACAGGGCTGGCCAATTGAAGCATGTTCGCAGGGGTATACCCTTGCGTAGTAGTGTGGCTTGCTGTGGCTGAACGTGCAGCCTTGTTTAATCGAGACTTGTATTCTGGAGCGAGTGAGTTGTGAGACTCAACCACTCCCATTCTCAGAAGGAGATGCGGCGGGGAAGACGTCACTTCTCAAGTCTGTATCACCACTCTTTGCACAGGTGTTGTTTCCTGAGTGTTTTTGAATAGTTCCATTGCAGGAGTTTCCAATTTAGGCAAACGAATATCTTTTTTGTAAGTTTCAATGCTCTCATCAACTCATGAATCTGAGGACCTTTGTGAGAATTGGCTGGAAGGAAGCAGCTACCTCTCTCGCCCGTTCCCACCAACACCCGCATGTTCACAAAGAAATCCGAATGAAATATTGCTATTCTCTAAGAATTATTCGTAGACTAATAAACGCCCAGATCAAACGCTTTGCATTGCTGAACGAATATTCGTCGCCCGCCGACTTTATTGCCCGAAATGGCAGCCACGCCTCCCTCATCCGTAGACGTAGAAATGGTCGACGCCCTCTCGCCAGCGTCCACCCTCTCCCCACCACCAGACTCAGGGTCCGAGTACGAAGACGTCGAAACGAAAAAAGACTCTCCCAACCCGCAAATCACCTCCCTAGAAAAAATCAACCTCGAATCGCCCCTTACCGGCACCGACCTAGCAAACATGGCGAGAAGATCGGCGCGCAACACTAATAAACCGAGACCCGTCGTGGTCTCCCCCGCGAGGCCGGCGAAGAGGAAGGTCGTCACCAAAGTGTCCGCGGCGAAGAAGGCGCCTAAGTGGACAGCGGAGAAGCTCCTGACGGATACAAAGTCGCCCCTCGCCAGCGCGGATCTCAGGGTACGACGCCCTTTTTCAAAACCCGCCCTCGCCGGTCATTCTCTGGGTCTTTAAGTGCTAACGTCACGAGAAACGTAGACAATCCTCTGCCAGCCAGCAGCATGGGACATCCTCACCCCCGCCGAGCGCGCCGAGATCATCGCCCTGTTCCCCGCCGGCACGCGCATCCTGGACGAGGGCACCGAGAACGCGCGCCCCGACTTGGATGCCCTGCGCAACGACAACAACTTTCGGCACGACTGCGCGACGTACACGGACAACATCGCGCAGGGGAAGCACGACCCCGAGTGGCTGGAGCAGGCCTGGGCTGCGCGCGAGCGCCGTAGGATGGGCGATTTCGACGACTACCTCGTGCAGAAGTTTGAGGACGAGTGGAGCTGCGAGTTGCCTGAGGATTTCAAGCCGAGGAGGGATGCGGCTGCGCCGGCGGAGGGTGTGGAAGAGGGCAAGGAGGCTGCGGGTGCCGTGGAGGTTCAACCCCTACCTGCGGAGGCTGGCGAAGAGACCGAGGTCACTAAGCAGGAGTCGATTCAAGAGAATGCCACGGACAACCTGATCAAGGAGACAATGGAGACGATGGAGACGATGGAGACGATGGAGACGGCTAAGGGGGATGCCGAGGGCGATCTGAATCCCACACCGGACGCGGGCGAAGAAGCCTCTGGAAATGAGCCTGTTGTCAAGCTTGGATCACCCGTCCCCGACGATGATGAGGTCGTTGGCACCAAGACTACGACGACGGAAACGATTGCAGCAGTAGCTAATGGTAAACCTACGGGACCATCCATCTAGGAGAGGGGAGCTGGGTCGAAGGGACGGGGTCGCCTAAGCAGACGAGACGATGCAGTCTCATGACATATCACGACTTTATGACTCATGGCCTTATGGGATTCAGCGATTCATGGCGTATAAGGGATTGGTAGATGCAAAAATTGACATGGCAGGCATAGGCCTCAATAATTCAGTGGATTGTCGTTTGGTGGCCTATCCGCGTTGACTGATATCGGAGGAATGCACTGCTCCCTCCCTCTCCCAACACAGAGTGACAAGACGCGGAAATCAGCTTCATGGATTCATAAAACAATGATCATCAACAATGAGGACAATTTGGAGATTCTGCGCAGGCATCGATCGTTGGAGTGATTCCATCAACGGCACAGTGACATCTCGGTCGAAGCCCCACATCGCCGAAGCAAACCCAAAATTCAGTGGGCGAAAAGCCCGAACCACGGCGCAATGTTAAACATTCTAATTTCAACCTCAATATCACCGGTGCTCAGGGTTCTCAGTCGAAACAGACCCGACCAATTTTTCGGCTAAAATAATTGCATCACCGCAAGAGAATATCTGAGCGTCAGTGGTCCAACTCCAAATAGCGCCCGGAATCATTCGCGCAGAGGCTCGCCAGCCTTTTGTGTTCATACCCAGTCATCATGGCACCCTCGGCAGAGAATCACAGTCGCTCGCATAGCCTCTTGTTGTTTCAGAAGCTTCTCAACTTAAGGGACAGCGCAAGTCCTTTGACGTTGGTCCTCGACAGTCTTGAGCAAGGTGCTGCGCCAGTCGTGCGAGAGTTCATTTCTAGAGCCAAGGTGGGTAGCCAGTCATCATAATCCCAAATTTGCCTCAAATAGCAGCGGCTGCTCTCTGATTTCGTCAGACACGGCCGTGTTAGTCTTTTCAGCAGTTTGTTAACCTCCAGACAGATCGCAAAGGCAAAGGTCATCCTACTCTCCTTTGCAACTCTGAAGCGCCCACGAGATGTCGACGTCGTCATCAAGGCCCGTGGCAAGAACCTGAAATCTCTGAGGGCAGAGATCTTGTCACATTATCCCAAGCCAGACCCTTCCGCAGCCAAAGGCGCACCTCCATCACAAAGTATGTGACTCTTCGCGCACTTCTAGGAACTGTGACTCACCTTTTACAGAAACCATCCTGTTGGTCGACTCAGTCAACGACCTCGCCACGGCAGCGCCCCAAATGGTCCCGACCTTCCTGTCCAGCATCATTATGCCCTCTGTGTCATTAGTAGCAGTCTATCACACCGACGTTCCTCTCGTGCTCCCGCGTACCGTGAGCGAGTATGAGCCCCACCCGCTGACAGTGCTCTCGCACCTGGCCACATCGATACTTCGTCTGTCCAGCTTGAGGCAGGAGATTGAACGTCAGAAGGCGAGGAACAGGAGTGTCCAGGAGCCGGAGTGGGGTCTTCGCGAGGAGAGGGAGGGCGTGTTGATTGGTCTCAAGGGCGAGACCAAGTCCGAGGACTACCGCGGTGTCGTGGTGGAGATGGAGGTTCGAAGAAGGAGTGGGCGTGCCATGGCTGAGAAGTTTGTCCTGCTGCCTTTGGCAGGTCCTGCTTCGTCTGCTGCCTCTGGGAAGGGCAGTAAGATGTTTCTCCTTTCGGAGCACCCTGTGTTTGCCACACCCGACAGTGCAGGTGCGAATGGCGGTGTTGAAGAGGAGGAGGAGCCGGAGAGCACCTTCAATCTGGGTCTGACGGAAAAGCAAAGGCGGGATAGAGAGGGTATTGTGCTGCCTTACTTTGACGCGCAGACGGATATCGGAGCCGGCGAGGGAGGAAGAATTTTATACGAGATGGGCAGGGAGGATGACTTTGATGACGAGGAGGACGAGATCTAGACAGCGTCACCGGTGGTAGTCAAGAGACAAGTGGCGTCATGAACTTCACGATCAAAACACTTTACCGCGTCCAATACTGGGCATGCCTTCCAGTAGAGGCAGCAGCAGTACCTGCCTCAACAGGGTGGAGGGCCACTGCCTTTCACGTCTTCCATGTCTCCTACCTTCCCGCTTGCTTTGGCCTCAGCATCAGGTCGCTAGCGTACTTCCTGAGGATGCCACCGGCTTCCTGCCTCAAGCCTGAGTCACCACCCCACTGAGGCCAAAATCCAAGCAGGCACGTACCGCGGCTGCCTGCAATTCACCATCTCTACCTTCGCTTCTTGCCTCCAGAATTAAATCGCAGTCCCTCAGTCGCTTCGGTACGTATCGTTACTGATCGGGGGCAGCGCACAGGCCACCACCCAGGTCTATATAATTCTGCCAATCCTCCGCAACTTTGGGATTTTTCCTCTTTTCTCCTTACCTTCTCTTTGCCTCTTGGCTTAGATCAAGTGTAGTATCTGTTCTTTTCAGTTTAATCTCTGAAAGATGTCCATTGGACATCACATTGATTATTCTTATTTTTGATCTTCAGGTGGGATGGTCCCTGCAGCTTGCTGCATACCTCCTTCCATCGTGTCCCTGGTATTACACTGTCTCCAGGCGACGCAAAACCCTTTTCTGGTTTTCATTGCTGTCTCTGGCTTGTCCAGGGTTGTGAAGAAGACTGTCGCGTCTATGTGTTCAGATTCGGAGACTTTCGGCTCAGTGGAAGGATTAGCTGAGAAATAGTTAGCAGAGTGTAGGAAATTGAGGCTCAATTCTTTTTCGTGATGTTTGGACCGACGTTATCTTGATTTGAAATGCCGAGGGAAACCGCTGGAGCTTACCAGCGGCTTCAGTGGAGCAAATGGAACGTAAGGTGCAGTAGAACATGCCTGCCGGAGCTCTTGCCAGGCTACCCCAGCGCTAAATTGTAGAGGCTGGGAGCTAAATGAACCGCATATGCTAGCCGTCCGACGACCCCAAATTTTCTTCAGCCACAACGTGACGTCGTTCCTTAACACTTACCACGATTCATTCAGAAACCCATTCGACAAAGCCTTTGACTTACCAGAACGACATACATACGCTGTAAAAATGGTTCGTGGACGCGATAGCCGGCAAGGCTGGGACGAGACAGACCGACGCAGTCGTCATGGCGGTGGAGGCCGCGATGGGGGCCGCGATAGAGCCCGCGACAGCTACCGAGATCGCGACGCTAGACGCGATGACCGCGATAAGAGAGACGACCGCGACCGAAGATACAGATCCAGATCTCGTGATAGACGCGACAGAGACCAACGCCCCAGATCTAGAGACAGAGAGAGGGATCGTCCTCGCGACGACCGCGACGCCGGAAGGCCGCCCAGGAGAGAAAGAGATGGTTGGCAGGACCGAGACGAGCGGCGGCGTAGAGACGAAGATCGCGGAGATGACAAGCCATCCAGACGGCGAGACGAGGAGGATGAAGCTCGTCGTGAGTTGCAACCCAGCAGTCCGCACTTTCCCTGGCAGAAAGCTAACGTGGCCACAGCAGCAGCACCTCGTGACAAGGACCGTAGAAGATCAGCGTCCCCCCGTCGAAGCGCTAGCCCGCCCCCAACCCGCCGTGATGGAAGATACACCGAGACTCTCCCCACGCGCACGTTAGGAAAGAGCAAGAAGGAGCAGCACACCATGTCTTTTAAGATGGGACGCCACGACTCGCCGCAGGTTGACAGTGGACGCGACAGCGAGCGCGGTGACACACCCATGGCAGGTCGGGATGATCGAGACGATGGGGACGACGAGCCCGAGCCTGAGGTCGAGGGCGACGATATGGACGCCATGCAAGCTATGATGGGCTTTGGCGGCTTCGGCACCACCAAGGGACAGAAGATTGCGGGCAACAATGTTGGCGCTGTGAGGAAGGAGAAGAAGACGGAGTATCGCCAGTACATGAACAGACAGGGTGGCTTCAACCGGCCCCTTAGTCCCAGTAGGTAGGTATTTTGGGTTTACGCATGGTTAAGACAGAAACTGGGGAAACGTTTGACAGACGAGTTTGCGAAGGTGGAAGCTGCTACAGAAAGCTTTATTGCAGAGGCCTTGCAGCTATATTTTGCCTTCGCGCAGTACGCTTTTGCGCGTATCGAGGGTTGGAGGCGGGCGGCCATTCAGTAACGTGTGAGTTAGTACTCTTGCGCTTTTGCATTGTTTTCAAGATACCTATAGACGAAAAGAGACCACTATGATATGCACCAACTTGCCTCGTACTGATGTACGAGATCATTGAGACTATCCTGAAGCCGTCGATGCCGGGGCGGGCGGTGTCGACTCCTGTGTCTTCCCCTCCTTTGCCTCCGCCTTGAGCTCGCTATCGAAAATATCCACCGCGAGGCTAGCGTCCACAAAATCCTCCAGCTCCTCGGTCACCGTCTTCAATTTTTCTTTGACGGCGATGCTGCCTTCGAATCCTACAATGTGCCTCGCCGGCGGGTTCTCATGGCCTCCGATGGCCGTCAAAGCGTGTACAGTTTCCATCACGAGACGATCCGTGGCGCTCGGCGGCAGTTTCGGATATCTCACAATGACCTCCGTATCAGACTGCTCCATGGCGGTGTCAGGGTTCATGTTGAGCACGTTGCCAAGCATGTCTCGAATGCTCGGAGCGGGGTTGATCTCGGAGTCGTAATAGGGCAAATTGGGGGCAAATATGATCTTGTTCGTCAAGGACTGGATTTCCTTGTTTGGCTGCACGATGGTGACCTTGATGTTGAAGGGGGCGATTTCGTAGGCAAGGGAGTCGCAGAAGCCCTCGAGGGCCCAGATTGCGGAAGTGTAGATGGGCATGCCCGGCGTTCCTATGTGACCGCCCGTGCTGGAGAGAATGATGATGTGTCCCGTGTGCTGAGAACGCAGGAGCGGTAGAGCGGCCTTGATGAAGTTGACCTGGGAGAAGAAGACGGTCTCGAATTGGTCCCGAACCAGGTTCTGGGTCTGGGGGTTCGTGGAGAGCTCCTCGACGCTTCCGACGACAGCTATCCCATGTCAGCCTCCCTTCCGAATGAATGCTCCCATACTCGTATTACCTTCAGACCTGCAACACAGCAGGATATCTATCCTCCCAAACACCTGTACGGCTTCTGCTACAGCGGCGCCACACTGGCCCATGACACGCCCATCGCAGCGGATGCCGCGTATCCTGTCCTTCCAACCCTCACGGTCTTTTCGGTTACTTTTACACTCATTGATGAGCTCTCTAAACTCGGCGCTGCGCTCATCATCCTCAATTTCACTCGGCGGGAGGCATGCGACGACGTAATCGCCGTGGCCCAGCAGCAGCCTGATGAGCCGGATGATGAGCGGTGAAAGGGCGGTAGTGAGAAACCATGTTCGAGGCGAGTTGTGGGTTGCTGCTTTCTATCAGCCTACAGTACGCCTTGAATTGAATGATCTTGAGCTCACGGAAAGACGGCGCGGGAATGGAGTGAGTGTGCCTCGCCGCCGCGGCTTCTGGCGCTTTGCGGTCAGTCATATCTGGCGGCCGTCGGAGTTGCTCTTCTTGGAATGACGAGCCAATCAACGATGCATCACGATCGATGGGAATTGTCAAGAGAGCAAGACGGTCCGGACGCGGGATGAATCTTTGAGGGGTGGGTGCGTGGGGATAGGTATGCAGGCCTTGGTCGTTGGGCGAGCACGCATCGAGTAACGGGGGGTGGCCTTGAAACGACGGCAGCGGAAAGGAGTGATGCTAATGTGAATACGGCATCTTTATCAGAGCTTCAATGTGAGAGGATGATACGGGCGATCAGATGTACAGGGGGAGCGGCAAGACGTGCCTTTAAGGTTGCAATCCCTGATGGACGCCTGCAACTGCAGCTGGATGAGGGCAGAAAAGGCAGCTGTTCCGGCCCAACCTCCAAGAAGAAGACCGTGAACCCCCAAGACCCAGCCCCCAAAACCGAAGCGAGACCCCGCCGCGGCGAGATTACAGCGGCACCCCACGCCGCTGCACGCTGAAATCTGGGGAACGACCCCTCCATCCAGTCACGTCACTTTCTGTGCCGACACCGGTGTCTCTTCCGCACTTTGGCGGGGTTGCGGTGTCTGGAATAGCGACTTTTTTTTCCACTGGCACCACTCCCCTCCGTGACTCACGAGAACCGATCCATCCCGACATAAAACGTCCCCGACGGCCCGTCTTCCTGCAATTTTGTGTTGCTGATTCCCTACCGCCATCTCTCGACCCAATTGAACACCGGTATACCGCCCAACATGCCTACTCGCGCCGACATCACCTACTTCGGCGCCGGCCCCGCGCTGCTGCCCACCGACGTCCTCGAGACGGCGGCCCAGGCCCTGCTCGATTACAACAACACCGGCCTGGGAATCGCAGAGCACTCCCACCGCAGCGAGATCGCGACCAAGATCCTTGAGGAGGCCAAGGCCGACCTGACGACGTACCTCGACATCCCCTCCGACTACGAGATCCTCTTCATGCAGGCCGGCGGCAGCGGCGAGTTCTCTGCCACCGTCTACAACTTCGTCGGCGCATGGGTCGCCCGCCAGCGTGACGCTGTGCTCAAGCGCCTGGGTGCCACAGAAGACACCCCCGAGGTTATCGCCGAGCTCCGCAAGATCGTCGACGAGAAGCTCAAGCTCGACTACCTCGTCACCGGCGGCTGGTCCCAGAAGGCGAGCGCCGAGGCCGCGAGACTGCTCGGCTCTGAGTTCGTCAACGTTGCAGCGGACGCTCGCAAGGTCAACGACGGCAAGTTTGGCAAGATCCCTGACGAGAAGGACTGGAAGCTCAGCGAGGGCGCCGCTATGGTGTACTACTGCGACAATGAGACCGTTGATGGCGTCGAGTTCCCCGGCTTCCCCGCCTCCCTGGCACCTAAGGACAACGGCGAGGGACCCATTGTTGTGGCCGACATGTCCTCCAACATCCTCTCCCGCAGAGTTCCTGTCAAGAACTACAGCGCCATCTTCTTTGGTGCGCAAAAGAACCTCGGTCTGACCGGTGTCACGGTCGTCGTCATCAAGAAGAGCCTCCTCGCTGCGCAGCCCTCACCCGCGCTGATGCGCAAGCTGGGTCTCCCCATCAGCCCCATCGTTCTCTCCTATGAGACCATTGCCAAGAACAACTCCCTGTACAACACCTTGAGCATCTTTGAGTGAGTCATGATACCACCCACCCCTGTCGATTGGGATCCATCTAATGGGCATTAGCGTCTACGTTGCCGGACAGGTTCTCAAGAAGCTGCTGCGCACTTTCCCTGACAAGGCCGCCGGCCAGGAGGCTGTCGCTAACAAGAAGGCCTCCCTGATCTACGCCGCTCTTGAGGCGCACCCGGATGTCTACCGCATCGTCCCCGACAAGTCCGTTCGCTCCCGCATGAACATCTGCTTCCGCGTCACCAAGGGCGGCGACGTCGATGCCACGGAGAAGGCGTTCCTCAAGGACGCCACCAGCATCGGCTTGACTGGTCTGAAGGGCCACCGCAGCGTCGGTGGCATCCGCGCCAGCAACTACAACTCTATCCCCCTTGAGGGTGCGGAGAAGCTTGCTGCTTTCATCGAGTCTTTCGCTAAGGCTTGAGAGGATGTTGCTGAGGGTGCTTGTGTAGCGCCACAGATCTTATGATACCATGGAAAGGAGCATTTTAACAAAAGAGGGACAAAACGGGTTTGAAAAGCTATACGGGGATATTTAGGGAGCATTGACATAATTCAACATTTACAGGGTGATAATTTTGTCGCCTTTGCACAAAAAGACTTATCAATATCATTTACATTCATCCAAGATCTGTTCTGATATTCATGCTTTCATCTCCGCCTCAAGCCATGAGGGGATAGCAGGAGGCTTCTCCCACCCGTCGAGGAATGCCTCCTTGGGCCCACTTGGCTTCGCATAAATGGCCGTAACATACCAGACCGACTCGCCCTTCTTGATAGTATGTTGCAGCGTTGGAATGGTCGTGCGGTTCTCGACCAGGTTCGAGTTGGGATCCGCGTTGACGAGGTTAGCTGTCCGCTCGATAGAGCTCTCTAGAGATTTAATGCCAACAGCGCCCTTGGACACTGCAAACGAGCCGTCACTGCCCTTGGCCAGGCCTTCTGGTGTGTTCGTATCGTAATTTCCAATGATTTTGGGAGATGTTCCCTCGTAAGTCTTCGCATCGTAGAGATCGAGGTAACGCCCGTTTGTCGAGTTCTCGTTACAGATGGCAAAGGAGCCATCGGCTGTCATGACGTCGCGGCCGGCCTTGATATGATGGATGCGGAGATGCCAGTTCGGAGTCGCTTCTTCCGGAGGAACGAGTATACTCTTGATTTCAACATCGGGGAAAGGCTTCCAGGCGGATACGAGTACCGGCTTGTCATCTCTGGTTTCGATGCCGGCATACTCTGAGCGTCGTCGGGTTTTCCAGTATTCACCCCCGTCGTCTGACAACCCCAGCTGCGAGGCCAAGGCATACTGCTCCAGCGAGAAGAGACCTGGCGGAACGGAGTATGCGTATGAACTGGAGTACGCGAAGCCGCCGTACTTCGAGTGTGTGCCCTTCATGGGGTAGCTGCAGGCTTGACCGGAGGAAAGCAGCATGCAGTGTCCACCAATGTTGCTCATGATATGGCCGGGCTGCTCGAGGGGCTTAATCTTGGGGATAACCGGCCATGCCTGTTCCTCTTCAGAGGTCCAGAAAGGGTGGTCTTCGGGGACGGCTAGGCAGATGAAGGCGAGGCAGGCCCAGTACTAGGAAAGTCAGTAAAGGCATCCGCGCTCTTATGTAGAGGATACTCACCGGGCTTCCGGGACTGTTGTAGTTCTCTGCCATGTACATATTCGGGTACGAATAGCCAATGGACAGTGTTCCGCTTGGCGTCCACATGTTGTGCTGTGTCTGCCACCACCTCAAATGCCGCATCACGATGCCCTTCACCATACCCCAAGTCAAGGGCGCAGGCAGCTCGACACCGGCATAAGCGAGTGCGCCCCAGAACGACACCATGGCAAAACGGTATCCTACACTGCGACCGAAGGGAATTGCGCGGCCCTCCTCGTCAAAGTAGTGCACGAGGTCCAGCGCAACCTGCTGTGCCCGCCGTCGGAACTCGGCAGCTCGCTCGGGCTCGTCCTCGCCGGCGAGCCTCGCGTATAAGAGCTGGAGAAACTGGATGGCGAAGCTGGAGGAGTAGTAGTCCATCATGTGAATGCCCTCGGGGCCATCGTTGGACCAGCCGCCGCCTCGGTAGAATGTGTTGAGATGCTCAATGTCGGCGTCGAGACGTTCTTGGGAGAACTTTCCGCCGTTCTTCTTGAGGCCTAGATTGGCGAAGACGCGGAACCAGAGCCAATTGGTGTTTGGCATGCTATGTCGTGTTAGTACTTGTCTGGGGGTCCATGGAAGCGTCACGGCTTACTTTTTCTCGTTGATCGAGTTTCCGAGCCAATTCTCTACGTTGCCCCGTTCCTTTTCGGAGAGACTATCCCATATGACGGGTGCGACTGCAAGTGAGAAGCCTATGAATGATCAGCACGGGTATCCCACCTCATGACCACACGCCTCACCAAAAGGGCACATTTCAACCATGCGCTGATCATTGTCTCTCGGGTACCCCCAGTACTCAGGGTTCTCTGGGTCAGTTCCAGACTTGATACCCTGAATCCACCACTCGGTGCCACGATAGTCGCCTCCGCCAGCCAGGAGACATGCGAGACCCCATAGTGGGCGACAGATACCCTCAACTTCGGCAGCGGCCTGGTCGAACCTGACGGCCGTTCCGCCGGGACACTTGACGCGGGCCTTTTGCGGGGAGAAGAAGGGCTCAAGCGGGTCGAGGAGAGTCCGGAGGAGCTCTTGCACCGACGCTCTGTCGGAGAGTCTCACTTTGGAGAAGGGGTGGGCGCCGTTGTAGCCCAGCACGAGGCCGGTTTTGGGCTCTTCCATGACGTGCAGCTGGCAAATCACGAGTACGAAATCTTGAAGGGGAAAACTACGTGGGAGCAGACTGTCGACTGAAGAATGAAGGAGACAAGGGACGAAGATGAGACGAGGCGGGGGAAAGCTCCAAAGTCATGTCCAGCATCCCACGTAACAACAACCTCGCTCTTGAATTACCCCGGCCTACGTGACCCGTCACAAGAGACCAACACCTCATCCCGCGTAGACATCGGACTAGCTGGGCAACAGGATGGTAAGATGGTGGGGTAGCCCTCGCACCAATGTCGTCGCCTGCTTGGAGCGAGGCCGCAGGATCGTCTACGGAATATTTATGTAGCTCGGTGCTTGGTGCGAGGAGCATGAGGGGCATCCCCCCTTCCTCCCGCTGATCATATGTTGGGGTTTAGTGGGGGTCGGAGAGGACGGGGGAGGGGTAGCCCATGTGGAACTCTTCTTCAAGGAGGGGGGAAGCCTTCGCGGCTAAATGGGAAATTCGGAGAGTTGAGGTGTCGTGCCTTGAGTTTGGGGCTTCGTTGTTGGCTCGCGGATATTGGGTTGCAGTTGTGTAGGTGTGTGTCTTCGGCTGTCGCTTTTCCGACTCGAAGCCGGTTGTGTTTTACTGTCCCGCCTGCGGCCTGCGCATGCTAGCTTCTTGTTAACAATTGGCGTTGGAGCTCCCAACACCCATTGGAAGGGTGGCCGAGTTGGTTATGGCGCCAGGTTAAGGTTACCTTAGCAACATTCCTGGTGGGGCAACCCGCGCGAGTTCGAGTCTCGTCCCTTTCAAAAATAATTTTTGCTTTCGTTTGCAATCATTGATTTCACTGGAAAGAACGATGCTAAATTTTTTTTTATTTTTTATTTATACTGCACCGGCGGCGAGTGCGCAAATATCAGTCGGTACTGTGAGAAGCTCTCTAAAGTTGAAGACCGTCGTTAATATTCTTCAAACGAACCTCATGGACGCATTCATACATTGCCAAGCGCAGAGGTAAAGTAATTGTAACGCTCAAAAGCTCGCCGCTAAGATGGGCGCACAACCGATTGCTTAGGTAAGGTAACGAAGCGTCGTCGGCCCGTTGCTCATTTCAATTGATCTGTGCGCGAGTCGGGTAGTTGTCCACCGTGGACATTGCCGACAAATTCTCCCTCCTTATTCCACGTATTGTTCGGCAACCAACCATAGACCAACGGATCGACACCATGCCGCCGGCTCCGTCATCACGCCGCGTTCGTCGACGTCGAATAGCCGAAGAGGACCGTCAGCGCGCCCCGAGAGCATGCACCCGTTGCAAGGCTCGGAAAAGCAAATGCATTGAGACACCATCGGGTATCTGTCAACGATGCCAGCAAGGGTCCTACGGATGCAGCTTCGAGCGGCAGGAAACGCCTACACCAGGACCACGAGATTTGGAAGCTTCGGCACAACATCAAACTCCACCATCGAACTTAACACCGACCTCGAAGGCCGGGCCTATTGCCGATGGCCCAGAAGACCCTCCTTCGCGGCGGGATCTATGTTCCGATGGCGATGCCCCGGAGAACTTCATGTGGCCTCGCTTCCTGTCCCGTCTCAGGAATGCCTTCTACCTCGAGCCACATCCGTCACCTGCCGAGAGAGATATGACCAGACTGGAGGCCGATCTAGCAAATACCTCATCGATTCCGAACTCTGCGGAAGGTCTTCGCCTGCAAGCTGCCATCGGCATCCTTCCGCCCTGGCCAGTAGCAGACTTTTTGGCTACGCTATGCATAATGCACGGAACTGACTGTTTCTTCTATTTCGACCAGCAAGAGTTTCTATCGGAGTTACGGGAGTTCTACGATAATGTTAAATCCCCCCTTCGCCGGGACGCCAGTTTTGTATGTCTGTTGCTCGCGGTTTTTGCCCTCGGCAGTCAATGGACCCCACGAGCCCGTCCGGAAGGCATAGATGCTCCAATCTGTCCAGGTGACCCAGGGCAAATCTTTGGCGATCATGCTCGCATTCTGATGGCCGATACTATGGATCGAGTGAGCATGTACTCTGTCAAAGCCGCATTCGTTCTAGGCGCCTATCTTATGCCATCAAGTGCTATCGGTGCCTCGTATTTATACATGGGATTGGCGCTGAGAAAGGCACTCATACTTGGTCTTCATCAGGAAACAGACGACCCTGGCATCCTTGAACATGAAAAGGAGATGAGACGCCGTTTATGGTGGGCCATCTATTCACTCGAAAGGCACGGATTAAAGTAAAACATAGGTTCGATTGCGGGTTTAGCTGACTTTCGCGCCAGGACCCTCACTATCAAATTGAACAGACCTAGATCTGTCACTCAAGACATCATTACAGTTAGGTTACCAGATCTGACGCCCGATGATTATGGCCAACCATATCGCAATGTTTCGCACCAAGTCGCAAATGCTGAGTTTGTTAAAGTCATCGACAAACTCGTAGAGCCAGCGTAAGTCGGACAATCTGCTCGCCGAACTGACCACACTGACCTTGATGGCGCAGGAATTGGTCGAGTGATTCTCAACTCCCGCTAAAGGATTACCATGATCTTCTGAAGTCATATAAGAACAACCACCTGACGGGTCTGGATTTGACAAACCTGGACCCGAGGTCCCCTTACTATCGCGCTATCTTCCATCTCCACCTCAACTATCACTTTGCATGGATAGCTATTGGCAAACCGTCTGTTGTGGCAATGACTCGATTCTATTTGCGAAAGAATCAGCCTGCCGATGTCATCATTGATGGAGTCAGTCTGATGTCGGGCCCGTTCCGTTATTGCAAAAAAGCAGCTCAAAAGATGCTCGGTCTTCTCGAGAGCGCTAGTAACTCTGGAAATCTTGCACCTAGCTCCTTTACAGATTTTCAAGCCTGCAGTATCGCTACCATCATGTTGGTGCTGACCGGTATCACATCTAGGGATCCAGAGTACAACGCTCAGGTAGCGTTCGGTCTGGATTGCCTTCGGAAGATGTCAAACATGCACACTGCTGGTCGCGTGGCAATCAACTTCGTTAAAGCTCTCATGGCCATTGCAGAAGAAGCACGTTCAAAGATAAGATTCGTGGGAGGAACCTCGGAAGCCCAGGACGCCCGCGAGGAAGGGTCATCGGAATTAGCTTACGTAGCTTGGGCCGACTGGTTCTCCAGCACCACAGGAGTCTCGGGCATCGCGCCTTCTGCGTCTGGGCTTCTGAGCAACCCAGCGGCATCGGGTTCAGGCGGAAGGCTGTGGGAAGAGGCTTCTGCCCTTTTGCAACTGCGCAATCTATCCACTCCTGGCATGTCTCGCCCTCCCCGAAGTCAACCTGGCCTCGATTCTGATCGCACTGGCGATGATGTGTTACTGCCGCCACCACAAACTACGGCAAATCAAGGAGAACCATCCATCGAAACAGACCTCAACATCGACTTGCAGATGTTCAGCGAGAATCACCTGCAGCTGATGGGTCTCACCGGAATGGACATGTTGGATTTTGATTTTGGTTTCAATTGAACGTGGTTTGTAAATTCGTACCCGGTTTCTTTATTTTAATATCTCGGCTCTAATCAAACCTCATTCGAGGGATATAGAACAGTATCAGCACCTACAAAATCCTCCTTCAGACTCCTGATGCTGGTGAAGCGTGCCAAAAGGTTGGTGCTGGTCGCCTTGTCATTGGTACCGCTAGCCCGGCCACCACCAAAGGGCTGATGACCGACAACGGCTCCGCTGCTCTTGCTGTTGATGTAAAAGTTGCCAGCAGAATGGCGAAGACCGTTCTCGGCGGCCTCAATTGCCTTTGTATCGCGAGCAAACACGGCACCGGTCAGGCTGAACTGTGTGGTCGAGTCAATCACAGGAAGCAGCTCCTCGTACTTTTCATCGGGGTAGACATAGACAGACAAAATTGGTCCAAAGAATTCCGTCTTCATCAGCTCGTTTGTCGGGTTGGTGGTTTGGAAGATGGTCGGCGAGACGAACCAGCCTTGACTCTTATCTGCGTTGCCTCCCGCCAGGAGCTCAACCTTAGGGTCCTTCTTGGCCTTGTCGATGACCGCCTTCAGCTTGTTCCACGACCTCTCGTGGATGACAGGCCCGATGAAGTTGTCGACCTGCTCAGGCGAGCCAACCTTGAGCTTGCCAGTCTCTTCCAGAAGCGTCTTCTTAAATTCAGGCCAGACAGACTCGGCAACATACAGACGAGAAGTAGCTGAGCACTTTTGTCCCTGATATTCGAACGCCCCCCGGATAGTGTTCACCACAGCATTACGCACATCGGCACTGCCATGGACGAGGTGGAAGTTCTTACCGCCCGTCTCGCCGACAATGCGGGGGTAGCTCTCATACCGACCCTCTGCCACGGCCTGTCCGATCTTGCCGTACAGCTGGCGGAACACATCAGTGGATCCGGTGAAGTAGAGGGCCGCGAACTTGGGGTGTTGGAGGATGGAAGAGGTAATGGGCTCGGCTTCGCCTGGGATGAGCTGGATGACGTTGGGTGGAAGGCCTGCCTCGAGGAGAATCTTGTGAAGCAGGTGGCTGGAGTAGAGGGCGTAGTCTGAGGGCTTCCATAGGACGACGTTGCCCATGATAGCGGGGGCCACGGTCAGATTTGCGCCGATTGCGGTGAAATTGAAGGGGCTGATTGCGTAGACGAAGCCTTCGAGGGGGCGGTACTCGGTTCGGCTAGGGGAAATATAGTCAGCATAGGGTGCTTCACGACCGAGTGACAAATTTCTTGGAGCCCGTTTTGACTCACTTCCAGACTCCGGCATCATTCAGTATGTTTTGTTGCTTGTACAGCTCAGCGGCGTAGTGAACGTTGAACCTATGAGAGGGAATTTCATCAGTAAACTTGCATCGCAAGTGTATGGAAGATATCACGTACCGTAGAAAGTCAACCGATTCAGCTGCTGAGTCGATTTCCGCTTGCCAAATGTTCTTGCCTTGTCCAAGCATGGTAGCGGCCATAATACTCTCCCGGTATTTGCCAGCGATGAGCTCGGCTGCGCGGAGGAAAATAGCGGCACGATTGGTGAAGGATGTGTTTTCCCAAGCAGTTTTGGCTTCCAATGCTCTCATTAGGGCTTCTTGGACTTGCTCAGGGGTCGTTTGCGGGTACTCTGCCAGAACGGTAGAGTGATCACTGGGAATAAGTTGCTTGGCGAATGTTGCATCCTGTTTGGTACGCATCAGTGACGGAGTGAGACTGAAAGACCCTGAGAAGATAGAAACCTTTAGTTGAGAAACCTGAGATGGTACTTTGATAGGGAGCTCGCTTTTGAGTCGTGTGATAGCATCCTGAAGCTTCTGACGCTCCACCGATCCCTTGCTGTATGATGGCTGGGAGCAGATGTCAGTTTCCTTGATTCATTGGATTTTGGAAATCTTTCGACAACTTACATTAGGCTCATTTCGAATTGGAGGAGCCTTGAAAGTTCCAAAAGCTCTGGCATTTACACACGAAACAGGGCGCAGCGCTTGCGGTGACCGGGCAGCCCTGTTCAAGGGGGTGGAGAGTTTTCGCAGCATAGGAGAAGTCATGGCGGGCTTTTCTGTGCAAGTCGCAAACGGGGCATAACACTCAGAAATGACTTCTACATAATCGATTGCACAATTTATAAGGCCCAGTGAGCGATATACATACTTCATGTGCCGTGGGGTATCTTGCCGACGCCATCTGCACCTTACCGACAGGGTCGGCAGTGTGCCCATACTGCCGATGGCCAGCTAGCCGATCGCGCATACGGCCCGACCACAACCACCCCGCTCCGGTATCTCATGCCGGTGCGACCCCATGTGCCGAAGCACCGATAACGGTCGATGGGACTTTTTGAATTGGCCGACTCATCACAATCTGTATGCGCTTGTTGGCTTTTCGAAATCAGTGAGTTCCTCGTGGTTTGGGTGTATGGTGTTGCAGTGACGACCTACAACATGGGCAACTCAACTCTCGAATCGGCCAAAGACACCACTGCCGGAGCGGCAGGAGGAGTCGCTCAGGTTTTGATAGGTATGAACTTAACTGCTCGGACTTCATTTAACGCAGCCTGTTGGCGACCTTTTTGCTAACAGGACCTAGGCCAACCATTTGGTACGTTTCAAGCTGGTTAACAGACGCAACGAGCAAGAGGGCGCATGACTTCCGAGTCGTATAGGAGCAACTCGTTGACGCGTTGTGATCAACAGATCTTGTGAAGGTGCGACTTCAAACACAAGGAGGAGGTAATGCTCTTGGGCTTGCTCGTACAATCTGGGCCCGTGAAGGGCCACTGGCCTTTTACAAGGTTGGTTACAAGATCGAAGAAACATGAGCTTTCGCTCATGGTATCAGGGAACTCTTGCACCTCTGATAGGCGTCGGCGCTTGCGTAAGTCTTACAACATTTCAATGTCACCTTATTACCCTCTAAAGCCATTTCTTACAGGTCAGCATTCAATTCGGCGCCTTCCAATTCTTCCGCCGGCAGCTTGAAGACTTCCGCGGGATAACTCAGTCCAACGGCCTATCGTTATCTTTGTCCGACTTTTACCTCGTAGGCGGAGCAGCTGGTTTGACTAACAGCGTCATATCCGGTCCAATCGAACACGTCCGTATCAGACTGCAGACCCAGCCGAGCGGTGTGAACCGCCTGTACTCAGGCCCGTGGGATTGCGTCCGTACCATTAAGGGCCACTCAGGCGTCAAAGGTCTCTACCGAGGCCAAGTTGTCACTCTCCTCAGAGAGTTCCACGGATATGGCATCTGGTTCGCAGCCTATGAGGGTCTAGTACATTTCGTGATGGAGCGAGATGGCATCAAAGACAGAAAAGAAGTGCCAAGCTGGAAGATTGCTATCTGTGGAGGTCTTGCTGGTGAAGCACTTTGGCTCGGAAGTCACCCCCTGGACGTGATTAAGAGTAAGATGCAGAGCGACGGGTATGGCAAGGATCAGAAGTATGCGAACATGAGGGATGCGTTCAAGCAGACGTGGAGGGAAGGCAAGTTCAGGGCGATGTTTAGGGGTTTAGGCCCTGCTTTGCTCAGAGCGATGCCGGTTTCTGCTGGCACGTTTGCAACTGCAGAGATGGTGAGGTCTGCATTAGGTTGAGTTGACAATACTTTCAAGAGACCCTCTATTTTTTCTGTGCCAGAGAGATTTCTTTTCCTGCGAGCTCACATACTCTGAACTACTGTCCTCGTCGTCATCTTGAAGAGTAAACAAGCCGCCACAGGAACAAATCTAGTCGATTAAGGCACGCGAGAATTTTACCAGACAAAGAGGTCTGAAGGGCTCAATTTACAAGAAAATACGGCTTGGATTTCCGTTAAGACGATACAGTACTCTTGAGTCTACGCCACACCTCTGTCTTCAGAGCATTGCACTCAGATTTCGTTCGTGAGACAGCGTCCCGATTCTCAACCGCCCGTCGCAGAAGATATGAAAGACAATCTCCCAATGAGCCCCAACTTAAGCACTTATAGACCTCCATCGGTGCCATTCCCTTTGCCCCCTTTTCCTTGGCTGTGATATCCGCTAGTTGTAACAGACCGAAGCTGACCTCGTCGGCCATGCCCAGCAACTGTCCGTACTGGATCTTTGTCAACGGCTGTCCCATCTCAACTCGAGATTGCTGCAGCTCGTTGGCTGAGAGGACACTTTGCTTATTATGCGTTGCGAGAAACAGCTCAAGCTCAGGAAACTTGGCTCCCCCATCCTTCCCAAAGTCCCGGTACCTCTGAGACAGGAGTCCGTTGGCGACAGAGTTGTAGGAATCGTCCGTATCTTCCTTGGTGTCGTTGATAAGCTGGCGCGGCTCGGAGCTGATGTACGCGCCGCGAACAAGCTTGACTCCAAGTACGAAGTTGTCCTTGTTGGCTATCTCCATATGTCTTGCGAGTACGTCTGGTGTGCCTTTGAGGTAAGCTTGGTAGGTGTTGTAGACTACAGCGCCTCTGCCGTTTGTGTTGAACTGGCGCATGAGATCGAGTGCCACTGCATCGATTCCAGGTTGAACCTTGATCTGCTCGGCGTCGACGAAGATGCGGGCCTTTCTTTCGACAGCCCGGGAGCATACTTCAGCGAGGGCTTCCGCCATTTGCTTGGGCAGAGGTTTCCCAGATGACAGTGTCTCTGACACAGCCGGTCCCGCGCCCGTGAGTCTAAAAGTAACTCTCAGCAACATGGCATTTGAGTAAGTCATGGCGGGGAGCTTACTTGAGAGCCAGAATATCACCTTCGCCAACCATCTCAACGGTCGTCAGTACTCCTTCTCGCCATGCCTCAATACCCGAATCCTTCTCAACCTCTGTCTCCTTCTTTGAATCCACCATGCCTTTGCCAACTTCCTCCTCTGTCCGATTGTCAACAACAATCTCCCGCGCGTAGGTGAGAATGGCCCCTCGGAAACCCATCCGCTTAATCTCGCTGATGGTAGACGTGACCTCGGCTTCATTCTCGCCAGCGCAGAAGTGGTTGTACATAGTCTTTTTCATCAAGCCATGTAGCAACGGGTTCTTCTCGACATTGAATACCCAGAACCTAGGTGAGTCGTTGAGGAACTTGAGGACTCCCAGGGCCGGCGTCAGCAAGAAGCCGTTGGAGGAGATTGTTGCAACTAGAAGTGATCGCAAAAGAACTCTGAGAGGCAGCTTGGAATGTGGTGGTAGCACGGCCGGGGCTTTGGATGACTGAGACGCATGTCGTAAGTGTATGCGCAGCGGGGTGTAAGCTGCACGGTGTGTGTTGAGGGTGGTGTGCCTGTTGACAAAGCCAGTGGCCCGAACATGGGAGGCAGGTAGTCGGAGCATCTTTTTGTCTATTTGTTTCGACTTTCTCATCGATGAAGCAGATTCATTACCAGATGTGAGTTTTTGAGGCCGTATATACAAAGATGCTTGATTCAAATGAGTTGGAGGAGTTGCATGTACCCAGACGCCGGTTGATGCGGTTTCGGAGGGGTTGCACCGTAGCCGACTTCGGGCACTGTGTTGCCGGTAGTGTTGTCAGATTGCCTATCAGTTGCAAAGACTAGGGAGATCTTGTGAGCGATAAACATCATCAATTAACTGACAAAATTGAGTTTGATTGAAGTTCAAGCATTTAGTTGAGACAACCCTGATCCTGAATTGCCGTCATTTGGTTTTTCTTTCAAGTAAATCAGTCACTAACAAGCTCGCGCGAAACAGAGGTTGTGCCGTTCGCAACTTTTCAATGATTGAACATGAGAATGTGCTGTAACAATTGCGTAATCATCAATAGAGTAACCCAGGGCGAGTTTCAATTAGCTTTAAAGTCAGTATCCCGCCCTCGAGACTGAGGTGTTTAAGAGACTTCTCGACATATAAGAGATCGTAGATGACAGTGCGCACTGGACAGGAGAGCAGCGTTATCTTTCAGGTGCAAGAACACAATGATCATTGAAGATTACATCCAAACCCTTTCTCGAATTCTCCGATTTGACGATCAAATGAACAACGCCAGGTGAAGTCCATATTTTTGGGCGAATTATCCCATGCCCATTGACAACCCCCCATCATCTCCCTGCTCTATTGGGAATTAAGGTACTGGTCAGTGCGTCATCCCGCATCGAGCTCACCGACAGGGTGCCGAGGATTAACCGACCTGAGCAGAAGCACAGGGAAGCACTCCAAAGCTGAGGGGCTGAAGGTACCTGAAGCCCCACCATTCCAACACCGAACGCCAGCGAGCTCCAAAACCACATCGTCACATCTCATCAGCTTCACCTCCCTCTCCCCGCCACCCCTTCGATTTCGAAACTCCAGCACCCGACCGACGAACCGTTCGCCCACCATGGCCGCCAAGGCAGACAAGATCGAGAAGATCATCGCGCGGCTGCAAGCCCGTATTGAGGAGGGCCAGTACTACGAGGCCCAGCAGCAGACTCGCGTGGTTGCTGCCCGCTACATCAAGGCCGCCAACTGGCCCGCCGCCACCGATATTCTCTACAATGTCGCCCAGTCACTGTTGAAGGCCGGCCAGGGTGGCTCGGGAGGTGACTTATGCGTCATGCTTGTCGACGTCTTTAAGCAGGCTGAGTTGAAGCCGGACGCCACGAACAAGGGCAAGCTGCTTACGTGCTTGCGTTTGTTCCCTGCGGCGGAACCGACCAGAAAGAAGTTTGTGGGCGAGATGGTTGCGTGAGTGTTCGCTTGGAAAGTTGAAGAAGCAGATTTTGTGTCTAACTGGACATACAGGTGGTCATCGAAGTTCGGCGAGTACCCCGCCGGTGATTCTGATCTCCACCACGTCGCTGGATCACTTTACGCCGAAGAACACGAGCCTTACGAGGCAGAAAGACACTTGGTAGTAGGTACGAAGGACTCGGCTGAGGTCCTGGCTCGTATGGAGTACGCTTGGTACAAGGAGGATGACTCTCACACCGCCCCCCTCTACGCCGCGCGTGCCATCCTCCCATACCTTCTCGTTGGCAATGTCCGCGCGGCCAACACCTCCTACCGTCTCTTTACCTCCTCCCTCAGCGACGACAACAAGGGCCTTGGCGTTCAGGACGTCAGTAGCAACAGCGCCGACCTGCGCATCTTCCCTGGCCTGCCCCTCCTCAACTTCCTCGGCCTCCTCCTGCTCGCTATCCAGCGCGGCACCCCGGACGTCTACAAGCAGCTCGTCACGAAGTACTCGTCTAATATCTCCGAGGTTGGCGCATGGAGCGAGGCTCTTGAGCTGATCGCTGAGATGTACTTTGGTATCCAGCGCCCAAGGCAGAGCAACCCGCTCATGGACATGATGGGCAGCCTGTTTGGCGGCCCTGGCGGTGGTGCGCCGCAGCAAAGACGCCCCGCCCCGAGACGTGTGGAGGCGCCCCAGGCTGAGGGACTTGACTAGATGTTCCAGTTGTTCGGCGTAGATGGCCATCGCGCATAGCGAGCGCGATCATAATGAACATACTTGGAATGAATGCGAATCCAGGCCGTAAAAGAACGGTTAAAGTTGGCTTGTGCCGCTCAGTAGCCACGAGGCTGCTCCGGCTCGGCCTCGTACCTCCAGTTGTCTTCGGAAAGGGCAGCAACCTTGGCCCGTAAACTCGCCCTCACGGCTTCGAGTAGCTCTGCGGGGATTAATCAGGACCAGCGCACCTCGGAGTCGTCAGATAGGGGTTAGCTTACCTTCAGGTTGCTCGCGAACGGCAGTGTGATTGACCTGATGCTGCTTCACGCCCCCCGCAAGCCTCTGCCGCTCCTCTATACCAATAGTTAGCATACATAGCTCTATACCCTCAATGCAAAGCTTGAACGAAGCAACATACTCTTGCTCTCCTCGCGATCATCCAGCGCGGCCTCATCCGCCTCGTCAAACACCAGCGTCGGCAGCTCGCCGAGTTCAATCTCACCGTGCTCATCGCGCACAACAATCTCAAGGGGCCCCTGGGGCGCCGCGCTGCCGTCGGAGAGCACATCGACATCAAGCCTTAGCGTCTCGGCCGAGTTGCCGGACGAAGAAGTCGGTGCCGTGGAAGCCATACCCGTCGGCGCATTCGCGTTTGCTGCTGTCGTGCCCGTCGGACGTCTAGTCAGGCCTTGAAAGAGGTTGCGACGGACTGCGCGACGCGGGGCGCCGGGGGGAGGCGCCTGGCGCGATGTCCTGTCGGCCATAGCGATGGTTGTTTCTTTTTTTTTTTCTCCCTAGATGTGTAGTTTCTTTTGCCGTCGCGATGGAGTGTTTCGCAGGACAATTTTGTTAAGACGGTTCAATTGAGTATTATCCAGGGATGACGGTGGATCGGGGATTGAATATTGGTAGGGATTTTGCTGGTAGTGCTGTGGTTGTTCCCAATGTCGTAGGCGTTGGCTCTGTTTACTTGGGATAGGCGTGAGGTCGGCCAGGCACCGCGGTGGTTATCGATACAATACAGTGCGATTTGTTGACTGTGTGTCATTGGCACAGTAGCAACACTGAACGCCCTATGTAAGACGAAGAAGTCCTTCAACCTTAGCCTCGAACATCCACTCCGTAATTCGAGAACGTCATTTGAGAATTCTGAATCTTTTATACTAATGAGTACGACTTAGAAAATTCCCCACGTTAATCATTAGGTGATCAAAACTGAGTCTGCTCGGTACAGACTTGTCCCTTACGTCCCTCTCCTCTCAGATGATAAGATGTGCAGCGGTACGGCCACTAAAAGCGCTTCTTAGCTTGCGAAATCATCTGCCTCAAAGCCTCTTCTAGCTCGGATTGCCTTAGGTCTTTGAGCTTTCGATAAGACACAACCTTCAAAACCAAGAAGTTCCATCTCTGAACTTCAGTCGAGGTTACTCGTTGAAAATGCTCAGTAATCGGCGCGAGAGCGCTGAGCCAGCTGCTGATGGATTCCCAGGGAGCAGTAAGCCGCCTGCTCAACGAAGTCTCCAAGGGCAAAGCCACTTCTAGCCCCCAAATCTCGAGCATGGTCTGCAAGTCCGCGTAGAACGGCCCCTCTATATTGCCATACATGCCGTCCCCTTCATTTCGGAAAATCTGGTTGAACCCAAGTCTGTTCCATTGAGGGGACTGCTTCGTTTTTGAGAGTTGGTATCCCACGAAGCAGACTGTTTGGTCGGCACCGTGCTTCAAGTACAGCTCCAAAAGTGGTTTCCATTTTGGATCTGTGTAGTCCTCGAAGAGGAACTTGAGCTCCGAAATCACCATCAAGGACATGGCCCACGGGGTCCAAGGTGGAGAGGGCAGATATTTTCCAACGTCTGAGCCTGGAGCATGGTTGGTGTCGACTTGTAAGAAGCAGACGTTCCGCACTTCAAAATTTGAGGATGCTCTTTGTTCCAGGAGGAATCGCTTCATGGCCATGACTTTCTCCGATGTTGCACGTCTGTAACCGCTGCGTAGCGCTGCTGAAGAAGAGAAGAGTAGCAGGCTACTGGCTCCAGGATCTCGAGTTTGTTTTCGGATCATGGTCTTGGTGTATTCAAACGCACCGTATGCTGCCGCCGTGCAAAGTACGGCCGTTTCGAACTCATCCGGCGTAGATGCAGTGATCCACCAGGTGATTAGTGCACTTCTAGCAGGTCTTTCAAGCCGCGTCCCCTTGGAAGTCAAGAACTCCAGTGTCATTTGCTTCAAAGACTGGATTTCTCCCGTGACAAGACATGAATCCGTCAGTTCTGAAGCGGCAGCCATGTCGAGCAACAGATCGAGCATCGAAGATGGCCCCCCAAATCCGCTTTCATGTTGGTGACGATCTGCAGTGTCTCCGAATGCCTCGGTACTCTGATATTCTCGACATGGGAGTTTCCATTCCTGTTCGGGAACATGTTTCACGGCCGAAAGGAGTCCAAGGGCTACACCTCGATAGGGACAAAACGTTCCGGCCATTGCCTCTAGCTCTCGCACGGTGGTTGGCTCGTCCAAGAAGTCGCTGAAGGTCCGATGAACAAATTGCAGCTGATGGCAATATGGGAAATTACGGCCGGTGTAGGAGATTTGAACCAATCCTCGGCATCTCCCATTCAGTCGATGTGCCATGGGAACACATCCTAACGTTCCATCTTTACTCCCCAAGGTCTGTTGAAGCCTTCCATCGAGGAGATTGGTTTCGTATTCAGGCCTGTCGGCGATGCTATCCAAGACTGCATGAACATACACCCACATTTTTGGGCTCTCCATCGTATCAAGCGTCTTCATGACCAACAGTGTCCGAGCTGCTGCTTGCCGTTCGAGGCGATCGATCCCGCTCATCATGTAATTAAACATGGAGTTGATTTCGGCCGGAACAGCGTCTAGCCTTTTGTGGAGTTGCGAAAGTGAGTAGTAGTTTCCAATGCCAGTCAAGAGG